CTACAATTACTACTACACTAACCTAACCCTAACCACAACTACACACCCTATACCCTACTAGCGACTACCCTCCCCCTACACTATACAGACATACTACTACTACACAATACCCTACTACTAATCCTACCCTACTAACCCTACTACGACACTACTACTAACTACTACTACATTAAAACTTACTACACTACGAACACTACTACTAACCTAAACCCTACCTAACCCTAACCCTACAACCATAACTACTACACTAACATAACCCTACATACCTACTACTAACTACTAACACTACTACTACACTCTACCTACCCCTAACCCTACACCCTAACTACTACTAACACCTACTACTAACCCTAACCCTATCCCTAACCCGAACCAACCTAACCCTAACCCTACCCATACTACTACTACTAACTACTACCCTAACCTACCCTACTACCTAACAAATACTAACCCTACTACTAACACTAACCCTAACCTACTACCCTACTACTACTACTAACCCTAACCCTACTACTACTACTAACACTACTACTACTAACCCTACTACTAAACTAACCCTAACCCTACTACTAACACTAACCCTAACCCTACTACTACACTACCTACTACTACTACTACTACTACTAACCCTAACCTAACCCTACCCTACCCTACTATACCCTACTACTAACCCTACACTAACCCTACTACTACTACATAACCCTAAACCCTAACCCTAACTACTACTACTACACCTACTACTACTACTACCCTACAACCTAACCCTACACTACTAACCCTACCCCTAACCCTACTACTACCCCAACTACTAACCCTAAACCCTACCCTAACCCTACTACTACCCTAACCCTAACTAACACCTACCCTAACCCTACTCCTACCTACTACTACCCTACCCTAACCCTACACTAACCCTAACTACTACGACTACTCCTAACCCAACCCTAACCCTACTACTAACCTAACCCTACCCTAACCCTACTACCCTACCCTAACCTACTACTACCCTAACCCTACCCTACTAACCCTAACACTAACCCTAACCCTACTACTAACCACTACTACTACTAACCCTAACTACCTACTACACTACTAACCCTACTACTACCCTACTACCCTAACCCTACACTACTACTAACCCTACTACTAACCCTACTACTACACTACTACTACTACTACCCTAACCCTACACCCTAACCCTAACCCTACCCTACACTACTACCCCTAACCCGAACTACCTAACCCTACCCAACCCTAACCCTACCCTAACCGAACTACTACCTAACACCGACCTAACCCTACTTACCCTACTACCCTAACCCTAACACTAACCCTAACTACAGCTACCCTACCCTAACCCTAACCTACTACTACACCTAACCCTAACCCTAACCCTAAACACTACTAACCCTAACCTACCCTAACCCTACACTACTACTACTAACCCTAACCCTACCTACTACTACCCCTAACCCTACCCTACCCTAACCCTAACCCTACACTAACCTAACCCTAACCCTAACCCTACCCTAACCCTACTAACCCTACTACCCTACCCTACTACTAACCCTAACCCGAACCCTAACCCTAACCAACCTAACCCTAACCCGAACCCTAACCCTACTATACACTACTACTACACTACTACTACTACTACTACTACTACTACTACTACTACTACTACACTACACTACTACTACTACTACTACTACTACGACCACTGCTACTACCAATATTACTACTGCCATCACTATTACTACCACCACCACCACAACTACTACAACTTCTACTTAAACCACCACTATCACTGCAACTACCACTAGTACTGTTACTAACACTACTTCCCCTTGTAACCACTACTGCTGCTGCTAATATCACCATCACTACTACTACCACCACCACTACTACTGCCACCAACACGACCACCACCTCTACCACTACTTCCATAATCGCACACAATAAACACCCGACGGCAGAAAGTGGATAAGAATCACCCGGGCGCAAATCCCAGAAACACGGTTCAACCCCTAGATTTTATTTAGGGCTCCCACGATAGCCGGGTGGAGCTTTTTAATATGTAAAAAAAAAATGGCGTCACATACTGGGACGTTCTAATAATTTATAACACTTTTAGCTTGCTTTAGGTTTATCATCATCATGTAGCAGGTTCTTTGCAGAACGTCGCTCTCATCACGGTCTGCCTGAAAGAAACTCGGTCTCTCGTCAATTCTCCCGCCCCATGCACTTTCATACTCAAAGAGTCACTTACATCCTGTGCTAATCTTCCTACCCCTCCCTCCTGGTACCATGCTTTCTGCTTTAATTTGTTTCCAATCCGTCGTGGCGCTTGATATGACTAAAATATTTTAGCTATGGGTTATTTGCGCCATTTAAAATGCATTAGTATTGCTTGCCACCAAGTAGCCCCGAAAAGGACGCTTGCAGTGTTGACGCGATCGTAAGAGACAGATCCCAATACTGTCCCGACCGGCGACGAAGTCGTCCACCGGCTGGAATTTATTGCACTCTCCCCCGAACATAGGACACGTTTTTGTGTGTGTGTGTGGTTATTTTATAGACTGACACTAGCTGTCGTCGTCGGCCCTAATTAAACTAAATGGTTGCACATGATTTCTTTGACGTGCCCGGGTGATTCTCATCCGAATGGTTGCACTTTATATCATCGGATGATTATCGCTGGTTGTGCGGTCCTAGCTGCTAAGGGGAATAATCTCATTAATTTCCTAAAATGAGTACGCAGAATTGGAAACGAATTCCTTCCCTTGATGACGATTTGGCCTGAGATTTTGTAGCAGTTGCTAAATGATGACTATTCTTCGATAACTTTCGGGCATCGTCGCTCGAACAAGACAAGACAGCTTGTGTCCCTTTGGCTCTTTACAGAAATATGGGATGGGGTTGGGGTGTGTGTCCCTCTGGGTTATAATTGAGGTGAGCAAGGTAGGTAAGGGATAGTTATGTTAGTAACCTCTGGCGGAAAGTTCTGGTTGTTCACTAGATTGTGGTCTTGTTCCAGAAATTCAATGATGTGTGCAAATCAGTTTTACAGATCTGGATTATTTATATGCAAACTACTGGTTCTTGGCCTCTCAGGCAGATGCACTCCGACTTCAAAGGAAACTCCCCTAATAAGTCATCTTCAACCCCCCCCCACCTCCCCCCTTTCCATAACGAAACTCCGGAGAAAGCACCTTTGTCTAAAAAACAAAACAAAAAAGACAGATTTTGTAAACTAATGTGGATGCCTTTGTAAACTGTTGCAGTTTTGAAATTGTCTGTACAGAGGTAGTTGCCTCCCAGACTGACTTGATTTCTTCCAGTGACCACCTTCGTTGTTTCTCCTCTCCACCGACCACTAGTTTTGTTGCTGTTGTTTTTTAAAGTTGTTTCTTCTCTAGATTTGCATCATGTAGGATTATTCTCCCAAAGATGTGATTTTAACAGCTACAGATCGGGAAAACCCGGCCAACCGTATAGTAGCAAATAGTTTTCAAAACTATTCAGTTTAACCCTGTCGGTTATAACTGAGATATTGAGTTCTCACAGTATACATTTGTTATTTTTTATATCACGTAATTATTTATTCGAGACATAGATTTAATTTGTATTGTTTGAAATATCGCTTTGCTTTGGGTTGTAGTTATCAAGGTTCCAAATAGACAAATGTGGCGTGAGTGCATGCCAAGCATCAGAAAGTCAACGGTTTAAGGAATCAATATAAGGATGTGCAGAAGTGCGATGAAATTAAAGAGCGGATTTTCTGGCTACAAAGCGATAGCCACAGAAGACGTTCCGAAGATCATCTAAGAACAAATGCTGATATAAGATACTCGATTAGATGAAATAACACCCGCAAGAATGTGTGAACCAGGAATTAGCCGGGGATCTGGCAAGAAAGAACATGTAAAGAGCAAAAAAACGACGTGTGTATAATCAGTGTGCTACAGTTACATCTATACCTTAAGAAATTTGCTGCGGGAAACAATACACCAATATATGCCCAATGTGCCCTAATGTTGATCCTTAAATCAGTTATGATATAGAATGTACTATGAAGTAATCTGTAGTCATTGTATACCTATAGTCCTGTAGGACAAGCAGGTGTCCTAAAATAATCTTACAAATACATCGGAATTAGAAACATGCGATACTTATGGGGTACGTTATAGGAAGCACAACCCCAGGCGCATAGCAACGGAAGTTGTCTTTTGTAACTATCACTAAACCAGCCACAAACCGACCGACATGAGACGGAGACTCACGGGGACGGGAAAATGACGGAGGTTCCAGACGGAATTAAATTTGTAACAGATACAGATGTGTTTATTATACGTGGCCGACCTTGCGAACTGTCAGCTTTTTCATTTGTCCCACCGAACAGAAGGAATATACCGAAAGAAAGAAACTATTTCAACGCCACGAAAAAGGTATCTTCTTCTTCTTCTTCTTTAAGATATCACCCCGCCTCCTGGTTGGCCCTGTCCTTCTGGATATTATCTCTCTATTGTCTTCTTGGTCTGCATCGTCGTCGACGACCATTCAACTCCCGTGTAGATACAGTTTTGGTCGCTACTTGCAACGACGACGCAATCTATTGTTTGTTTACGGCAAACAAAATGACACAATCCACTGTTTGTGTACGGTCACATACTAATGTTCTGTTTAATACTGCTTCACATTAGGGTTAGCCCTAACTCTAACCTCAGACAATATTAAACAGGAAAGAATATTATTATTATTATGTGAACCTACACGTAGAATGGATTCTGTTCCCTAGCGTCAGCACTTACAGTAACGTTAACTTGCAATAATTGCGTCCCTTAGGGTCGCCGTTGCAGGAGTGCCCAGTTTTTACCCTGGTGTAATCTGACATTCTTTTGGTAGGCCCCAGCCATTTCAGTAGTAGTAATAGTAGCTTTTACCCCACTAGGACATCACACAAGTGATAAACACCCGTTGACACAATGTGCCACTTCAGTTGAAGTGACCATGAAATTATCACAATGAAAACATTGTCAAAATCGAAACTCTTTCAGGCCCATGAATGTTTAGACTTGGCCCACGTTGATTTCCCTTTACAAAAATCACAGAGGGGAAGCCCCACCCTGGCTTTTACCAGGGGCCCCAATATAGGCAGGCCATAAATATGGCCAATTGGCTGAACGCGGTTTCTGGGACCTCTCCACGGTGATCCTTATCCACATGTTGGCACATTGTGTCATCGGGTGTTTGTCGCTTGTGTGATGTCCTAGTGAGGTTGAAAGTCAGTCAGTCACAGAGGGGTGGGTGTACAAAAAAGGCAATAGAGAATGTAATATACTTCTAATCCCTACACAAGTATCTCTTTTGTTTAAATAGAAATAACTGTACATTTTGAATATGAAGACAAGTATGTTTAATTCTCTTATAGTTAGTAGGAAGGATGTATTTAGTGTTAATTTCACAACATTTCACAAAACAATTCTTCACTTACCATGGTTTTGCAGCAACAAGAGCAGTAAATATCCAAATATGAGAATAATACTTTAAAGTTTGTTCTTCTTTTTTTGCGTTCGGTTTCGTATGCTCAGATCAGACCATCAGGTGGGTTGCCTCTATAAACTCGCATGTCAGCTGCAGGTCCTGCAAGGTTCCCCATAGCTTGCTCTGCACACTTTTCTCTTGAGGCCAGGTGTCTTTTCGAAGTTGCAGGTAGAGTGGGCAGGTCTGGAGAATGTGCTGAGGTGTTTGTGGTCCTGTTTGACAGGCACACTGGGGGGACTGTACAATCTTTATTTTATGCATGTGGTAGCTGAGCCTGCAGTGTCCTGTTCGTAGACGGAAAATTTATGTATGTTGCTTTTTGTTGAGTCTGCTGATGGGGTCTTGTGGATGTTTACTGTTAGTTTGTTCTCTTCACAATCCCTTGTATTTTCCTTAAAGTTTGTTCAATTTCCTAACATATTCCAAAGTTATAATAAGTTTTTGGGTTGGTTTACCACTCAGGGGCTCTTTGTTCTCACAGTGCTAAGCAAAATTACAAAGAAAAAATGGGCTAATGCCAACACACACTATTTACTTTGTATAGCTATATAAAGACTGTAACTGCAATGATTTCAATGTAGCTTAGCCATAGTATAGTACTATCTATTTGTTTGAAGCACTTTCCTTCTCCTACACCCTAAATGCGGTAGCAATGAAACATTCTCCGTGTAAACTCATCAGAATCGCTAGATTCCCAAACAGCTGATAGCTTAGCTGCCGCTGGTGTTAATTCACTATCCGACTAACTTCTGAAAATTCTAAATTTTCATTATCATTATTAAAACTAAAAATATCTGACTGAAACAATTTGTGAATTTTGGTCACAGGAAGATGCATTTTGCGGCCTGTACTTGTGGCTGGAACGTTGGTATCCATGGCATTCAAAAACTTAGAAGATGCACTGTTCAACACAAGCAACAAATTGAATCAATCTGCCCACATGTTTTGGAACGCAAAATTTTATTCAAAGGGGAAATGTTAGAGTAACCTTCCCTTTAATGGTAGTTTCCGAAAATTATAAACGAATACAGAGCCATGTGCGAAACAATATGTAAGGGTCACATGATCGACGCTGACAGTGTTGCTTGGGCAAATCGGAACTTCTCAGTCAACACTCACAGCGTTGCTCGGACCTTAAAGAGTTAGATAGACATGTAATCTTGGGCTGGCCAAACAGGTTTACCAGTTCCTGCATCATCTTTCCTTCTCAGACGATGCCTGTAAAAATCTGGCAGTGAAACACAGTGGCTTTCAGCCTGCCATATATTCATGGTGGCACCACCTGGCCTAAGTTAAAAGCCACTGGTCTAACAGAAAAAAGCCATCTTGTATCCCAAATTTGTCCCACAAAGACTCTAACAACCCACTCGAATAAAGCCATCTTGTATCCCAAATTTGTCTCACAAACACTCTAACAACCCACTTGAATAAAGCCATCAAGTATCTCAAATATGTCTCACAAACACTCTAACAACCCACTCGAATAAAGCCATCTTGTATCCCCAATTTGTCTCACAAACACTCAAACAACCCCATTCGAATAAAGCCATCAAGTATCCCAAATTTGTCTCACAAACACTTTAACAACCCACTTGAATAAAGCCATCTTGTATCCCCAATTTGTCTCACAAACACTCTAACAACCCACTCGAATAAAGCCATCTTGTATCCCAAATTTGTCTCACAAACACTCTAACAGCCCACTCGTACTGTATTACAATAACCACTGGGAGGTGCCCCAATATAACTGCCGTACGGTCCAGCAGGGTTTCTAGAGTTCGCATTGCAAATCTGGCAGTGTAAAACTAAAAAATAATTTTTTTTTTTTACTTGTGTCTCCTTGCCCTTCCAACAGGAACATTACCCAGGATCAAGATATGACAGACTGTCCAGCAACATGCACATGGTCGACTACAACAAACACATTCACAGAGATGACAGAGAGCATGCTAAGTTACGAGGACTAGCCATTTATGATGAGGTTTGGTTTTTTCATGTTTCAACAAGGAGCAGATCATTTATTTTAATATGTATTTGGGTTTTTCTCCCTTCCACCAACCACAACTCCCACTACACAATTTCTGCATCAGTGTTTCAGGTATCATATTTTTATTTGTCATTTAACACATTATTATAATTATTATCCTTATTAAACAACACTTAGTTAGGTTGTCATATTAATCCAACATCTTCATGATAGTAAGCAGATATAGGTCCTACCCCAAACTGTGAATGGAAAAATTGCTGATAAAATTGTCTGCCTTTCGTACCCAAAAAATGGGTGCTTTCTCAATATCCTACCTCAAACCGGGAAAATCCACAGGTCACGAGACAGTCTAATATTTCAGGGAGTGGTACATAGGCAGCATGCAGACGTGAGAACTAGACTGCATGCAGACGTGGAGCCTAGGCTGTACTCTCTTGAAGGACAAAGGTAGGTTGGGGTTAGGGCCAGTTCTAGATGGTTTGGAGGTTGCTAAAAGCATCAGAAAACCAGGAAACCAAGTCTTACCACCCTCTAAAATGTTGGACTGTCCTGTAACCTCATCTGGGGTAAGATATTACAAGAAAACCCAAAAAATGCAGTGTGTATAATTAAAATCACAGAACAAAATGTTTTAAAAGTATTTTACATGTCAGTTTACAAGAAGAAAGACTATTAGAAGAAGGACTAAATATGATGCAAGTTGCCTCTGTATTCGTGCATAGAAAAGGAAAAAACTTTAGAAATCAACATTTGCTGTGCATCTGTTCTAGCATGAGTCCCCCAGGACAGTGCAGTTCAGGCCTACATTAATGCTCTGTAATTTATCTTGGAGTGTCGCTGCTGTCCACCATCATCTCTATCCAGAATTTTCAGGTGTGTGAGGCAATGAGCAGGCTGACTGACTAGCTGCTGCTGATAACTGGGCGGTGAGCTACCTTATGATAAAGCAGACGTGGTGAAGGCTCCCTGGGATCAAATGGGCAGTGCAGTAGAACAGCCAGCAAATACATACACTAAAACTGCCCCCCGTGTGGGTTCCGGGGCCCCATTGTGGGGAAAACAAGAATAGACCCACTGCCTCCCCAAAAGCATGTCGTAAGAGTCGACTAATTGGGGAGCTTCCTTTGAAGTCGGAGTGCATCTGCCGGAGAGGCAAGGAACCAACAGTCTGTATTCAAGAGAATGAGATCTGTAAAACTGATGCACACGCAACACTCAGGTTCTGGAGCAGGACTGCAGTTAAGTAATGGACGAGCAACCAGAACTTTCCACCAGAGTGTACAGCTGGTGAACGCAAAGAAGAAAGAAGATACACTAAAAAACCAATTTAGGGAAGGGGGCGAGGGGAGGGGGGGGGGGGTAGGAAAAGTTCTGGAAGATATTCAACAATGAGGGCGAAACATAGATGGACTTTTAATCAGGTTGTAACTGGTACTATTAGCACGTAGACTGTTTGTTGGCTGCTGAGGAAGGGTATGGAGTATGTGTGGGAATGTCTAGAGTGCAGTGATAGTTCTTGATTGGTTCATTCATAGGCTCCTCTGTGTCAAAGAACACAAGTGAAAAAAACTAAACAAAAGATTAGTTGTCTCAATATCTAATGGTAGGAAAGATTATGATTGTTGGAACGTCTAAGACATGTTACACTAAGATAAATGAAAGCTTCAGTTGATAAATCCAGTCAGTTTTCTACAGCTTTTGGCAGTGGGTGAGAGGCCAGATTGGATGCATTACCATACTAGCTTTAGTCATCGTGGTGTAGCAGCTGGACGTTCACCAACAAGCCTGAAGGTCGCTGGTTCAGGTCTTGACTGTGAGGTTGATCTACTGTGCATGGGTACCAGGTAAAGTCCTGCGGAGTAAAAACCCACCAAGTATCTGTTGGCGTGTCTTGCCCAGTGAGCTTGAAGGTACGGAAAAAGGTCCTTTACCGTAGCTTGCACACTATAGTCTTAGGTCTGATTGGTCGGTCGTGTGTGCACAGAACAAGGCTGCAGAGTTGTACTTTTATCAGCCATCTAGGAGTGATCAGACAAGAAATCTGGGAGAGCAAAAAACAACATTGTTGTTGTTGTGTGCAAGTCTTTTCTCATTACAGTGCAGATCTCATAAGCAGAACTCACTGGGTTCCCAAGAAATGGGTTTTCTTATCAGAAATTCCTCTAATCGAGATAACAAGAGGTCAAGCAGCGAAAAAGTGGATGGGGCATACATTGTCCTTCACAACAAATGTCATCTGAGATCACGTTAGGCGATCTGTACCGTATATTGATCCACTGTGTATATTTTCAGCGAAGATTAACCACTTGAGCAAGCTGTCCCTTGACTTCCTTGTGTATTTGCAGCCGATCCGGACTAATTCTCTGTTATTTGCAGGAAGTGGAGAAGAAGGTTCCGACGCTGTCATCCTCCATATATGGCCATTGGCTGAATCTTCAGGCAGACCATCCAGACAGGAAGCATGTTCACATCGGACATGTTGAGTCGGAATTCTACAGACGTAATGGAGTTGAGCTGTCTTCAGAACTCAAACCATGATGTTACTTAAACGTTGATGTCGCATTGTTTTGTTTTTGAAGTGTTTTGCATTCTTCGTTGTTGAGATGGCTGCCGTGCTGTGCTGTGGTTAATCACTAGGCTGTGATATCTCAACCTCTCCTCCGGACATCCGATTTCAGCCGGTTGTTAATTAGCCGCCTTTTGTGTGTGTGATGTTTGTAAGGGAGCATTGGGTCCGCCCCCCCCCCCCCCCCCCCCCCCCCCCCGTCCCCCAAAAAAAAAAACTTTACTGGAACCTTTGAACATTGATGTCACTGTTCTATTTGTGGAGCTTTTGTATCAGTGTTGATGCCACTGTTCTATTTTTGGAGCTTCTGCATCAGTGTTGATGTCACTATTCTATTTGTAGAGCTTCTGTATCAGTGTTCATATCACTGTTCTATTTGTGGAGCTTTTGTTATCAGTGTTGATGCCACTGTTCTATTTGTGGAGCTTTTGCATTAGTGTTGATGTCACTGTTCTATTCGTGGAGCTTTCGCATGATGTTGATGTCACCGTTCTATTTGTGGAGCTTCTGCATTAGTGTTAATGTCACTGTTCTATTTGTGGAGCTTTTGTATCAGTGTTGATGTCATTGTTCTATTTGTGGAGCTTTAGCATCAGTGTTGATGCTACTATTTTTTAGATTGGATTTTATTTTAAAAAGTTGCCAAAAACTGATGTTAATTCTTTTTAAAGGTTGCCGAAATTGATAGCAGAATTGGTTGCCCCAATAACACAATCACAACAGGCCAAATGAACATAATGAGCTGCAAACTTGTGTAAGCATACAAGAGAACAGTGATGCAACTACATGAAACTCACTTTGATGTTTCAAGAGCTGAAGCAGAAAAGCTTGCAGCGTTGGTAAATTGGTGTAGAGAAACTAGGTTCAAAGTGAACAACTAGAAGGGACAGATATTTGTTTGTTAGTGAAATGATCACATGATAAACTCACTCTTGTTCACAGGTTATGCTTAGTGGTTTCTAGCTGATGGTTTTAGAGGTCCATGGGACAAATTTAAGGGACTTGTAATATAATTTACATTAATAATTTTTTTTTAAAAATTAAAAGTTACTTTTGTTTGTGCTGTTTGAATACAGACTTACTCTGATTTAAATATGAGTTAAAAGGGTCACGGCAGACCTTCGAAATAAAGAGGCGTCATAGCCCCTAGGACCACCCAATCACAGGAATGAAATGTAATTGGGACCCCCCCCCCCAGTACATATATTGAGTGCTGATCAGCGGTACGTGCCTTCTCTTGAGGGCTGATCAGCAGTACATGGCTTCTCTTGAGTGCTGATCAGCGGTACATGGCTTCTCTTGAGGGCTGATCAGCGGTACGTGCCTTCTCTTGAGGGCTGATCAGCAGTACGTGCCTTCTCTTGAGGGCTGATCAGCAGTACGTGCCTTCTCTTGAGGGCTGATCAGCAGTACGTGCCTTCTCTTGAGGGCTGATCAGCAGTACGTGCCTTCTCTTGAGAGCTGATCAGCAGTACGTGGCTTCTCTTGAGGGCTGATCAGCGGTACATGGCTTCTCTTGAGTGCTGATCAGCGGTACATGGCTTTTCTTGAGTGCTGATCAGCAGTACGTGGCTTCTCTGACCCAGCCTCATGTGGGGCACCACCTGTGAACTGGGAAACACACAACATGAGACTGCAATGTCCCATGAAACCAGCCGGTCAACAGGGTATGCCTGCAGAAGTCAGATGTGTTGGCCAAAAGGTGCAAATATCACAGCCATGCTGGAAACGGACACAATGCAATTACATCTTCAGATGAACACAGAGGAAAAAACTGGGACCCCCGAGTTACGGTGAAGTAAAGATCCCTTTAAACGCTAGAGCAACTTTAGGCATATGGTGCTAGACTTTTATAGGCCAACAGGCAGTCACAGAGTCAACATCGCACTGGCCGCCTTTACTTCCCAGAACATTACCTGGTTCCCATTTCAGGCTGGGTGCGCCTGGAAGCCATGGCCGTTACATTATTTATGCTGTTTGCAATTCAAGTTAGTATTTTATGATATTTATAATTCTATAGTTAGGGTTTAACTGTTGCACTATCACTCATGAGAATCAAAAGCCAGACTGGAGTGTTAACAGAAACTGTAGGCTTTATAATAAAATAATGTTTGTTTACTAAGCCAGCTGTGTAAAGTTTTGTGTTAATGAAGAATGAGAGATCGTCTTTAGTTAGAACCCCAAAAAGAATATCAATAGGGAGAGAGGATGGGTGTTGGGAGGAGCAGTTAGTAATCATACAAGACTTTCCGAACACCCAATACTTGCTTTCATCATCCTATCATGTGTAGGGGGACATAGAGGGAGACAGGAGCAGTTGCCATACAAGACTTCCTGAACACCACATACTTGCTTTCATCATTTTATGATGTGTAGGGAGACAGGAACAGTTACCAGACAAGACTTCCTGAACACCACATACTTGCTTTTATCATTTTATGATGTGTAGGGGGAGGGAGGCAGACCTGAGTGTGGGATTGTAGATTTCAATCAGACATGTGTAAATCTGCACTACTTGTTTGTTTGCCTTCCACTGTTTTCTGGCTGGTTGTTTTTAAGGGTTTTATGACAGGGCACATGTGCAAACAGGCTGGCTTCAAATAGTTAAGAGGACAGCTTCCAACAGATAATCACTCTCTCACTCAAATATGTAAGATTCTGAGACCCCCTTCTCTCTTTCGTATGTAAAATTATCAGATTTCTCTCTCACATACACGTAACATTCTGAGACCGTTTTCTCTATTATATGCATACATGTAACATTCTGAGATCATTCTCTTACATACATATATGAAATTCTCGTTTTCTTCTATCTCTCATACACATAACATTTGTAGACCTTTCTCTCTCACACACACAAGTAAATTCTCAGGTTCTTCTCTCTTCTCTAACAAATATTTAATATTCGGATAACATTTCTCTCTCACACACACATATATAATATTAGGAAATGGTTAATTTTCTCTCTTACACACAAGAAGAGAGAAACAGTTGCTAACAAAACAAAACAAACCCTGTTAAAGTAACAGAAATATTTTCACATGAAATTCACATCAGCATGATACACAGGATCAAGTAGTTAACACAGGAAATATTTTATTCTCAGTAATTTCCCAGGGTCTGACAGAAATGGGGCATCATTATGTTGACTTTTAACACAGTGGGTCTCCCGACCAAACCATTTGCCTCAGGCTCTGAGGCCCCGGGTTTGTTTCACGCAACTGCCAATCAGTTAATGAGCGTTCATTGTTTCTGGAAATCATCACTGGAGCTACAGAGGTGGCGCTCTGTGCAAAGCTAAACATTTTCCAGACATAGACAGACGTGTAGCATAGCTGATCTTTTCGACTGTCTATTTAAACATACATGTGCAGCTACCAAGAATAAATCTTTGTTTGCCGAGTGACTCCCAAAGCAGGAGGGGAAACTTTATACAATGTGCTATAATTATTTAGTCTAAATCTAAAATACAGACATCGCAACGTACTAATAATAGTTTAGAATCACAAATAAAACATCACAAGCAAATGTTCAACTCGGTGGTTGCAGCACAACCTAGGGACTGTTTCTCATGGTAACTATGTCCTTTCAAATGTGAGTCCTGGTGACTAAGAAAAGGTTTTTTGAAATCAAACATGGCAGTTTACTGGCGACAGGGTCACCCACTGGCTCGCCAGCAGACGATTTCGTCGCCAGTATTTGGGTCTGTCTCCTCTGATTGTACTAACACAGCAAGAGTCCACTTCAGTACTAACACAGCAAGAGTCCACTTCAGTACTAACACAGCAAGAGTCCACTTCAGTACTAACACAGCAAGAGTCCACTTCAGTACTAACACAGCAAGAGTCCACTTCAGTACTAACACAGCAAGAGTCCACTTCAGTACTAACACAGCAAGAGTCCACTTCAGTACTAACACAGCAAGAGTCCACTTCAGTACTAACACAGCAAGAGTCCACTTCAGTACTAACACAGCAATAGTCCACTTCAGAGCTCTTGGTGGCGTGCAATGCTAAGCCATGTTATACCGCACACATAGCCAAGTCACAATTATAACCTAAAGCTCCCCGCTCAGGGATGCTGGTTAAATGCGACAATTTTTGTCCAGAAAAGCAACTACATACCAAATGTAGGCCTCAGACATCATAGCCTAGCTATAAACCACAACACTATAAACCGACCTTTTAAGGGTAAACACATAAGAAGAAGAGACGTGTTGTGAATACTGCCAGAAAAGCTCACCACTGCCCTGACAAAGATTAAGAAAACACAATATGATATACAGCTATCAGAAAAAAAAACAGTAGCAAAAGAGGCAGACCAAGACAAATAATGAAGGATGGCTTAGGAGATGGTCCAGAGGAAATGCTCCAGTATATATATCATGGTCTGGAACCTGCAGAGCAATATGAACACCCATGTAATCTGACAAGGCACACAACAATGGTATCCCACCGACTGCTTGAGCTCGTCTAGACAGTCAGTACTTTAGCATAAAATGTCTGGAAAGTAAACAAGTTCACAGTGACGTCACATATGACCTTCACTTCTCACCAAAATAAAACTCAGCTGTGTAACCTTTACAGCAGGACTATTTAATTTAATCAGGGGCCAAGATGCTGATAATTGGGATCGTCACAGCCACAGGCCCCGACCTCCATCCTAGAAAGATTAGTAATACAATCAGCAATAAATCACAAACCGGACTAGTTTAATAGTCCAGTTTTACAGTATCCTGGCATCTCATAATTATGAAGCGTGTTTGCAACGTGAAAGACACTGACAAGCCAGTTGATAATTTGGTTATCAACCAGATGTTACAGTAACCAAATAGCTGTTACATTCTTTAGCCAGCTGTTGCGTTAACCTTCCAGATTTGGAGTTAGCCAGCCAAATGTTACATTCAGCAGCCAGTTATCAAGCTAAAAAACAACCAGCGATACTCAGACTGAAGGACTGCCAAAGGTGCAAAATGAAGCTATGTGCATTATCCTGGGGTTCACAAGAGACACCTCTTGCATAGCAATGAGCTGGACTTTTTGACAATGCACCACAGAACGAAGATCTGGAGGACTTCTGAAGGTAAGCTCAGGTTTAAAGCACCCTCTGCACAATGTTCTCTTTAGGCAAACCATGACTGGGTAGGGCAGAGGACGATATCCTACAGGTGTGCAGTCTTACAGACATCAACCTCGGCAAAGAATGGATACCTGTGCCTCAGGTGCTCAACTGCACCTTTTCCTGTGTTGCCACACTTGATAGGATCTGAATCCAGTTGCTGTTAATGCAGAGGTCCACTCCTTTTTATGTGAAAATTCAGACAAGGCGGAAGTACTGATCTACACAAGCCCCCTGTACAGCTAAGCATAAAAGAGCTCCCTGTGTAGCCCTGCTTGCATCTATCAGAGTAATGTGCAACCAATCGTGAACAAGCCTAGCTTGCAATAGAGTATCCCCAAGCGGCTGAGAAACCCCGTTAAGTGTTAAGTTTATGTCACAGAAAACATACTTTTTAATAACCACACACACACACAAAAACATTGTAAAATATCAGAAAAAGAAGGTCCTGTTCACATTTGACTAGAATAACTTTCCTTGCCATTCATGCCTCCTTAGGTCGCTAGACCTCCCCTATGCTGTGGTGGTGTTGTATGGCTTGGTTTGGGGTTTGCTAGGCAATTACGTTTGCAGGAGGCTGTATTGTTGTGAGCTTATTTAAGGCGTGCAGGCAACTGTGTACAAGTAAAAAGTACTGCAGGGGGGAGCACCGCAGGCACGACGATTCTTGGCTATCGGAACTGGAATGTTATTGTATTTCTACGTTCACTGGAGATGGAATCCCTAAAAGAGAAAGAAAGCAGTTACAAGGAGAGTAGGAACATAAAAATTTCACTGCGCAGGTAGCAGAACATGAAAATAACAATGCAAGCGAGCGGTGCGAAGAAGAGAAAAGAGGCAACGGTTAAACCGTTGACAATAAGGGAAAAATGACTCCCCCAACTTAGGAGAGGTCAAGTGATCTAAAAAGGCATGAATGGCAAGGGAAGTTACTCTAATCCTTGGCCTGGAAACGTGAACAACACCAAGGAAAAAAAGAACGCATTCTCCAGCGTTCACCAGCTGTAAACTCTTGATGGAAAGTTCTGGTTGTTCATCCACCTCCAGACTTTAGTTTTCTTTCAGAACCTGAGTGTTATGTGCACCTCTGTTTTACACGTATGCAGACTCTTGGTTCCTTGCCTCTCAGACCTGAAAACACTGATTTGGAAGAAAGCCCCAATTAGTTGACCCTACGACCCGCTGTTAGAAAACAGTGGGTCTATTTCTGTTTTTCCCATAATGGAGCTCCTAAACGGGGAGTTCTGTAAATGATATTAATGACCCCTGACCCCCAGACAGGAAGACTGGTTTAAAGACTTACCCTCCGGCCCCAAACCATAGTGACACCTCCAACAGGAGCAGATATCAGACAAGCTGCTATCACAGCACATAAGTGCCCCCGTCCCTCTAACAAGCGTGTCCTGAAAGGCTACTAATCAGGGGTGTTGCCTGTGAAGTGACAGTGCATCTGCCTGAGCAGCAAGAGACCAAATCTGCAAAGACATATGTGCCATATCTGTACAATGGATGTCTGTACAAATAAAGCTCTGGAACACCCGGAAGTGGACGAAGAAACAGGACAACTTCCAGCCTGAGCTGAAAGCCGGTGAACATGAAGAAGTAAAAAAGCAATCAGGAGCTTGATGTATCACGCTAACAGATGCAATAATACCTACTTGCTGTAAACTAAAACACGACTTGCCAACTGCAGCAGAAGTGGCAACCTGGCTGGCTGTCTCACCACATTAACTCCATGACATTCTGTACTCAGAAAATGGTCACACCTCAACATTTTATTCCCTTCCTGTCGTGTGTGCTATAAGTCCCCAGCTCTGTTGGGCTAGGGCAAATGATTGAATCTTTGGTCCACTAAGATATGTAAACAACGGTTTCATTGTACACAGAAATCAACCTGGAACCTCTCGGGCCAGTGAAACATCACAATAAATAAACTGACAGGTACTAATTTGCACCTATATATTTACAAGGACACGTGAGGACATGGCTGAGTTGTAAGAAATGACACCACAGCACTAGGGACATTCCCATAAGTGCTCAGTTTGCGTTACAAGCTAAGTACTCAGATATAGTGGATGCAATATGTGCAACCTGCTAGATGCTCACCTGAGGATCAGAAATTCATGGGTTTGGATCCTAACAGTACCAGACCTTGGCTTCCAGGTCGACTTAGCCTTCAATGTGTACCAGATGGAGGTCTGGAAAGTAAAGGTGGCCGACATGATGCTGACTACATCACTCGCCAAGTGCCGGTTGGTCTATAAAATGTAGGTCTAGTCCTACATGCCCAATATACCCAAAGGTGTGGAAAGGCTCCTTTGCTGGTTACTGTTTGTTATATTTCATACCCCAACAAAAGTGGACACAAAAAGCCTTGTTTCGCTGAAATGATAAAACATAATGGTGTGGGTACTGGGATGTTTATAGTGCTACCACACAAACCAAGCAGACAGAACAAATGAATATACAAACATTAAAAAAACATGTCGCAAAATCTGACAAATGATTAAGTGTGATTTGGTCATCTCTGATCAAGTCACCATAAACTGGATTCATTATGGAATGAGTTCGACACCCAGCTCCCCACAACAAATATTTTAAAAGCCTCGACCAACCACAAGACCTCAACATTCTGTCAGCTAAGGTGTTTTCGGACCACATGACATCAACATTCTGTCAGCTAAGGTGTTTTCGGACCAAATAACATCAACATTCTGTCAGCTAAGGTGTTTTCGGACCACATGACATCAACATGCTGTCAGCTAAGGTGTTTTTGGTCTTTTAGGTGATGTCTCGGCTGTAGGGGATTCTAATTTTCTTTTGTGTCCCTGTGCAGTTTCACTAGATCTGCTTTCTTCACTGAATTCTTGTACAGTGTCTATGTCTATGACTTCAACAGGCCCCACTGCCTGGTCAGCAAGGCTTGTGTCTCTCTCACAATCAGCCAGCTCCTCGTTATTCTTCCCCGACTCGTTCGGAGAAGCATTATTTTGAATATCTTCTGCAGTGTTAGTCGACAAGGATTTCTGCTGCTCTCCTGAATGATGATCATCATCATCGTCATCAGATATCTCCACAAGAATGTCCCCAGGTTCTACTGCTGGATTTGGTTGTTTTGTCACAGGTTCTGCTGCTGGACATGGGTGTTTTGTCCAGCGTTCAATAGTCTCTTCACTGAGCCTGACCATTTGGACGGACAACTTCTTCAGGTGTCTGTCTCTCAGATGCTTGACATAGTAGGCTGGGTGGTAGCCTTTGTCTCCACAGACATCACAGTCGCGGACGCCGCTGGATGACACCAAACACACGTGTTTCAACAGCGACGGCTTGTCGGCAACAACCATGCCACACTTCATGCACGTATGGTGCACGCGCATACAGTGCCGGGTCAGGTCGACATTGCGGCTAAACTCCAGGTTACAAAGTACACACATGCATCTCTTCTTCGAGGTATTCATGACTGTCTTCTTTGGCTGTGCCAGAGTTTTCTCAGTCTGCTGTGTCAGTGGCTGATTGGCAGCGTTGGTTGGTGGCTTTATTGTTCCACTTATGGGGTCCACATGTCCGTGAACATTATTGATATGATTTTCGCACTCATGGCGCGACATCGCCTTGACCCCACAAAACATACACATATTTAAATTGAGATAATGTTGCATATCTCGGTTGTGCACAAGGCGCATGTGAAGCAGCAGATTCAGCACGTGATGACTGCACAATATGCACTTGCCGACCACTCCTCGAGACTGATTCCCTTCTTTGTGAGAATCAATATGCTTGCGGAGACCCTGTGCCGTCCAGAACCGAACATAGCAGGTAGCACAATATAAAGGAGCTTGGTTTCTCTCAAAAAGGTTAAAGGGCAGATCAATTCGATGAGCATAGAAAAAATGTATACGCAAAGCTTTCCGGTCTTTAACGAAACCGCCACATATCTCACAAACTTCGAAGGCGCCGAGCGGGGGTGCAGGATTCCGACTTACTGAAGCTTGTGGCACAGAGTTCTGCTGATTATTTAATAAGTTTGCTATTGTTGGCCGCGAAGCCCTTGTGCCTGCATTAGGGCCAAAGCGCATAGGCTGTGGCTGCATCGGCTGTGGCTGTATCGGCTGTGGCGGAACTGGCGTTAGCTTGACTGGAACAGGCATTCTTCCGTTGGCTGGTACACTGTAGCCCATGCTTTTGGTGGGAGGCACGCCCTTTTGTGGCAACTGTTTATTGGCTGCTAAGGCTGCTGTTGTTTTCTGGGCTGCTATGAGAGACTTCCTCTCAGCTTGTTGTTTCTGTGCATTTGTCATGGGTGCATTTGTCATGGGTGCCTGAAAGTGTGAATGTTTCTGCTGGAGAAGTGATACATTCTTGGGAACAACCTGTTTGTAGAAGATGTTGTCCAAGCACAAATTGATCTCAGGTCCCGAAAGGCAACTAGGATGTAGGTTGAAGTAAGGCCGGAACTGTTTAATGCATCGCTGCTTGTGCAGCTTCAGTTTCTGTTCATTGTTGTTTTCGTAAGGACAGAACTCACATTCGAATGCGCCCCTCTTGTCGTGAAGTTTAGGAGGTATACCATGTTTGGATTCCATGTGGTATCTGAACCCTATTCCCTGCTTGGTGGTGAATGAACAGTGAGAACATCTCAAGCCTTTGCTGTCCTCGTGCGGGTATTGGTTATGCTGAAACATGACATTTATTGATTCCGTACGGAAATCACACATGCTACACCTCTTTTTCAGCCTTGTCTTCAGATGGCCAATCGTTGCATACAAGTCCTTTTCAATTTCTTTGAGCTTCCCCAGGTCTTCCTTTTCCTTATCATTTAATTTGTTTTTGTTTTTCTTTTTCGACTGAATTTTCACAAGATCGTGATAAACAGCCTCTTTGATTAAGTCTGAGCCGATATTAAACAGAAATTTGGCCACTGACCCCAGCTCGGAAGAAGGGTTTGGTTTAAAATATTTGGGGCGTGTGTTGACTCGGTTCTGAATCTCCCAACGAATAAGTTCAATCTGATCTAAACTAGACTGTGGCTTTGGCGGGCCCACTGAGGAGAACATTACCTGAAGTTTGTGCTGCTGTTGAGCCTGTATGCTGCCAGCAACAGCAAAGTTTGGATTGAGACTGGGCATTCTCTGAGAGTTATTGCCCGGTGCCAAGTTATGCAACATTGCCGAGGGTGGAACAGCACTGGGCACTGATGTGGAACTTTGAGCGGAGGGCAGCAGCTGACCACCGTTGCTGTGGGCGACACTGTTCTGGTTCACTGGTTTGAGACCTGTTGGGACAAACACGATGTTCTGTGAGGCATGTGCAGACTTGGTGGTCTGGACCACCTTGGTTTCCCCAATAATCTCCACCTCATCATCGGCAGAATCCGAATCATTGTCTTTCACCTTACTATCTTTACCTGGCAGATCCACTTTCTGGTATTTGTTCCGTTCACCGCCCACATCTTTCATGTCAGAGCTGCCTGTACAGGTTCCTTTGTTCTCTTTTTCATCATCTGTATGATTCTGTCCCATATCTGGGCCATCCTGCATCTCGCTGTGTCTAGACTCCTCATCCACATACACAACATTGTCACCACTGTTGCTAGGTTTTGTTGTAACAGCATCAGTCTTACCAAAGTTCATGGGTTTCTTCCCTTTCACAGTACCTGACTGACTGACTTCATCACCTTGTTCCATCTCTTTTCTGTGATGCCCATTTAATTCCATTCCCATTCTGGCAGTTCCCATCCACTTCCATTCCGCTGGAATCATTATCCTTACTCTCTCCATCCTCGTCCAGGCAAATGACCTCAACGTCCAGGGGAGGTCCACTAGCCTGAACATGAAATCGTGGCTTCTTCGTGCTGGTAACGTTAGATGTGTCATCCTTTAAACTCCCACCCTCCACCTCTGAGTTGGCCACAAAACCATCCTGACTGCCTGACTTGTGCATATTTTCAGAAGGCGTATCTCTACCATGTCCATTATCCTTCTCCAAGAAAACATGGCTGTGCTGATCAACAAATGCCTTTTCACCAGCTCTCCTAACAGCTACAGCATCGTGATTGATTGCTACTTCATCACCATCTGTAGCAGACAGCTCTATGTCATGAGAAATGTCCCTGTTAGGCATCGACTCAACTCCATCTACAACAGAGCCACTGTCACTGACACATTCTGAGATAGCATGTCTGTCGTCTTCAGCATCAACAGAACTTGACCCTGTAGCGATATCTCTTTGCACAATTTCAGTGGTATGAGAGTGGCTTGTTTCAAGTGAAACCTGTGAGCCTTCAGTATCTGCTGATTGGTTACCTGTTGTGATGTCATCCCTCGGCACAATTTCAGTGTTATTAGAGTGGCTTGTTTCAAGTGACACCTGTGAGCCTTCAGTGTCTGCTGATTGGTTACCTGTTGTGATGTCATCCCTCACAAATAATTTCAGTGTTATTAGAGTGGCTTGTTTCAAGTGACACCTGTGAGCCTTCAGTATCTGCTGATTGGTTACCTGTTGTGATGTCATCCCTCACAAATACTTCAGTGTTATCAGAGTGGCTCGTTTCAAGTGAAACCTGTGAGCCTTCAGTATCTGCTGATTGGTTACCTGTTGTGATGTCATCCCTCGCGAATATTTCAGTGTTATCAGAGTGGCTCGTTTCAAGTGAAACCTGTGAGCCTTCAGTATCTGCTGATTGGTTACCTGTTGTGATGTCATCCCTCGCAAATATTTCAGTGTTACCAGAGTGGCTCGTTTCAAGTGAAACCTGTGAGCCTTCAGTATCTGCTGATTGGTTACCTGTTGTGATGTCATCCCTCATTAATATTTCAGTGTTAGACTGGCTTGTTTCAGGTGAAACCTGTGAGATTTCAGGATCTGCTGATTGGTTAGAAACAAATCCATTTTCGGTCACTGGCAGCTGAAGTTCCGTCAGCTGGTCTTGTGTGTGCTGACCTGCTGCTCTTGGACTCAGACATCTTGTCTTTAAAGCAGTATCCCTTTCCGTCACTATCACACTGTCACTGCTAGTGTCCACTTCCATCTGGCAGAAGTAACGACAATAGAAAAGACAATTAACAAAATGGCAAACAACAACTGCTTTATTTAAATTAATTTTTTGGGTAACAAAGAACGCATCAGGCAATGATTATTAACTATTTTAACTGTCCTCTGGCACCGACAGTTTAGTGTTATTTTCGCTTCTTTTATGTCCTTGTGTGGGTTTCAGGGTCCACTTTTGAGGTTAAAAAAAAAAGACTCAATGCCCTTCTAATAAGCATGTTTTAAGGGTGATTAATAAGGGGTTTTCCTTCAAAGTCTGAGTGCGATGCCTTCGAAATGAGGAACCAACAATCTTCACACAAGAAGGCCCACATCTGTAAAATAAAACTCAAGTTCCTGAACATGACTAAAGTCCAGAAGTGGAAAAACAACCAGAAAGTTCTGCCAGAGTTCAGAGCTGGTCAACGCTAAAAAGAAGAAGAAGATACATCTGTAAATATTTGGTTGGCTGTTGGTTGTCTGTGTAGGAAAGGGGGGAGGGGCGATGTTTATTTTTGTTCAAACGCACATAAACAAAAAGATGAACAAAAATGTGAAATGCAACAGCTCAAAATGAATATCATGAAAATCGCATTGGTTACATCTTTCATTTCATGCACACACACACACAAACTCGACAGAAGAGAACAGGTAAACCATGTTAGGGGACAATGAAATATTTCATTCTTCTTCACTCACTCTTAAAAGGGCAGCTGGTGTCTTGTGGTTTACAGCTAGGCTGCCATATCTGGCCCAATGCATCATATCTCAGCAAGACTCTAATTAGTCCCTTTTTCAACACAAGGACCCACAAGGCGAGATCATCATGTCATTTAAAGTGTAGAAACTTCAGACTGAAGAAGCTTGCATGAATGCACCATGAACAGGCAGCAGGCACAGACTTTACAACTAGGCTTCAATGCAACAAATGACACCTGATAATGACAAATATGGTGATATTAATACACTGGCCAGTGCATTACAAGCCAGAGGTTTTTTCTCTTGGTAATGAGCAATTGTGGGTGACTAACGGATATTGATTGCTGCTGTACAAATTCTCAACCCTTTGGGAACGACTGGCCTGATCTGTCGGCCCAACAGCAAAATGACGGCTGGGGCGATCAATCAGCCAGGTAATACAGGTCTTGAGATTGGCTGGCTCGTCTTCATACCAGCCCGTCAGGTTGCTTCTCGCATTTTTTGCACATGTGGGCTGTTCAATTGTGGCTTTCGTTAAGTTTTTTTGTGTCCAATAATTTTACATTCATTTGTGTGTGTGTGTGTGACCTGTAACCAACAATGGTGAAAAGGACATTCACAACAGCAATCAGAACATAACAGGAGGCAGGACAAGTAGAACCATGTGCCAGAGGTGATGAAAGGGTCTCCATGGGTCTTGCTTCCACAAAAACACAAGTGTTAGGACTTTTTCAGGCTTTACTCATCAATAAATTTACCTAAACTGTTAAATTTAGTCGTTTTTGTACTAAGTTTTTTTTTAAAAAAAAAAGGCATGCATCCCACAGCTAATCAGAATAAATATTTAGATGTCAGTGTGATTAATAAAGTTTATGGGCTATCTTTTAAATAACGGTCCAAAATTATCAAGGCCGAAAATATACCCTGATACGGCCTCAGCCACATGTAAATTGCTGACATCCAGCGACTTAAATTGCGCATTTCCGGCGGCTGCTACCACCGCTGAGAGTATATCCTACGCCGTGTGGTGTGGATTGGGGCTAAACTATATTTTTTTTTATATCGATCACCGGCTGTGAATTCCAGTGGAAGGTCCCGGTTAATCGTCCGCTTGGACTTTTGGCTTTCACCTGGACCTGATTTTTGCGTGTACAACCGTTTTTCATTTCCCTGCCTCATGGGCAGCTGTACTCCGACTTCGAAGGAAGACGTCAGGCCTATTTCTAGGTTGACTGTGGCCATTGTTTTGTGTGGGTCGAGACGTTGCCTGATTTGTGTGGTGTCCACTTTTGTCTCCTCCGCAGGTATTGCCCTCGGAGTACCCCTTTGGGGCAGCCCCCTGTTGAACAGTTAGCCCTCAAGGGAAGGCAGGGCAGTTCGTGGGGCATTCCCCGCCATCCCAAGGAGGCTTCCATGCATGCAGAGCCGGCACATGGCGCTCTGGTTCTGGGCTCACCCAAGGAATCGTCACGTCCTGCACATGCCTGCTTAACCTCACAACCGTATCAGGCCTCCCGCTCGACAGGGGCTGCGCCCTCTTGGAAGTCAGCGGGGAGCAGCCCGTGGGTTTTGGACCTTTGTGACCACACAGATAGGTACATTCTTTTTTTTTCTTCGCACGTTATATTTCTTTGACGAGCCGTTAGCCTGACAGAATTGTACATCCTTCATCAGGCATATCGTATCAGTTTTGGTCCAAACACTCGGGCGAGTGGGGTCTTTGGGGTGGACATTCGGTCTTTTTCAGTTCAATACAAAATTTTGATGGTCAGATTTTGACCGTATGATCTAGTTTTGTCGGACATTAGGATGGTTGCTGTTGTGGTGTACCTCAGCGCGGTGTCGACGACACTGAGGGTTAACCGAAGATGTACAAGGATGGCCAGCAGGATGGTTGCTGTTGTGGTGTACCTCAGCGCGGTGACGAACGACACTGAGGGTTAAAACGAGGAGTACAAGGATGGCAAGCCTATGGATGGCTGCTGTTGTGGTGTACCTCAGTGCGGTGACGACGACACTGGGGGTTAACCAAGGATGTACAAGGATGGCCAGCCTATGGATGGTTGTTGTTGTGGTGTACCTCAGCGCGGTGACGACGACACTGAGAATTAAAGAGGATGTGCACGTGAACAATGTTCTCTTAACTCCGCAGTCTTTTAACCAAGGGTTGTAATTTTGGCTGTACGTTTGCCAAACCTACTCATGTTCCTAATGAGTTTTGATAACATTTTTCACCCAAGCGTTTGGGGGCGGGCTGATGAGAGCCACAAGGACACATCACCTCAGGGGGCCGCCGAACTCCGAGATCCCCTGACAGCTCTGTTAATGCTCATTTGAGACATTATCCGTGGCGCACGACGAGGACGTGCTGTAGGGGTCTTGCGTGAGGTTCCGTACAACCAGGATAGTTAAGGACTGGCGCCCGAGTGACGTACGGAGTATCTCCTTATACACATCATGTTGGACTTAACTTCCCCTCACGCCTGTGACATAAATCACCGCGCCACGGGCTAAACTAGATGGCTGGGACTCACAAGCAGCAGCTACTGCATCTCCTGCAGCTTCCTTCATTTTATTTGCTCCTGAGTCCCGGCCATCTAGTTTAGCCCCAATGCACTGCGCACGTAGCTGCGTGGGAGATACTCTCGGCGGTGGTGGAAGTCCACAATTTACATGTGACTGAGGCCCTGTTAGGGTATATTTTCGGCCTCGATAATTTGAGACCGTTATTCGGAAGATAGCCGCTTTTGTAGCTACTACAGTTTCGGAAATTAGCGATCTTTTCGACAATTTCCGTTACCATAGAAACCGTTTGAAACTTGTTTCGGAAATGTCGGCTTGGGTTTCGGGATGGGTCCTAATCTCTCATGAAATTTTGCCATTGGTGTGATTTTCACCCACTCTAAATAGCTGAAAACGGCGGGAAGGAACTCAATTAACAGCGCATGTCTACGACCGCCGGACATTCTCTGTTTTTCTGTTAGTCTATCAGTTTCATTGAAAATAACGGTAAATTCGAGGTTGGTTTAGGCCTTAAACATTACCAGATGTGGTAAATGCTAGTTATAATTGAATTCTCCGTCCAATTTTACATTTGCATATAAAA